TATTAGAATATATGATATAATTGACGATGTTATTTCATTAATTATAGATCCAGAAGTATGACTTCTCGCATTAACCACGTGTAGTTTTATCATCACCGATGATTGACTAATGTGTCGACGATGTGTGGGAAAGTCGAATTATTGCTGTCGCTCAGCTTACCCCACACGCACAGCTTACCCCACACACACAGCTTACCCCACACACATGTGTGGGGTAAGCTGTGTGTGTGGGGTAAGCTGTGTGTGTGGGGTAAGCTGTGGAATCACTACTGACATTCGTCCGCGGTTAGCCAATAACTATTGCATTTACCATGTTTGCCAATAATCATTTCGCCTCGTGGAAGTTGTACAACCAACTATACGGGGAATGTTAAGGCTGTGATATTGATTTTACCCCAGCGCGTATTTGTAAGCGGGTTTCCCGCCAATCCTTTTTAATTATGAGGTGATGTTGAATGACCATTACAACCGGAATACAGAAAGTATTGCAGTGCTGCTGCGGTATTTTTTTATTGATATCGGCCTTCCTGATTTATCTTCCATTGTATAGCTTCAAGTCCATGCTCAATCTTTGAGTATTCGCCACCTTATACTCTGTTACGTAAATATTGGTGGCATCACCCATATACCGTACGGCTTATATAGTGAATAATGAATGCATTTCCCAGGACCCGATTCAATGCTAGCTCTGAGAAGCTACGTGCGTCGTTGTGCTAACATATAACTTGTAGTCGTTAAATGATGCAATGTATGTGCATGGCGCGGCATTGAGCGTTTGGCGTGAGCTGTGTGTGTGTGGGGTAAGCTGTGTGTGTGGGGTAAGCTGTGTGTGTGGGGTAAGCTAAATTCGTGTTATTGTTACACCGCAAAAAAGAGGCGTGCCAGCCGATAGTAAACGTTGAATAGATTTGTGAATGGAGGTCTTATATTTGAAACCAGGGGTAGCAGAACTTATTTATTTAAAGGTTTGTAGTAATGGTCATTCCACGAGGAAAAGTAAGAGCGACCATGTGAAGAAATTCTCAGTGAGTGAATATACACACACACACATATATATATATACATCAAGAGTACATAATAGGAGACACAATTAATATCTCCTATTATGTACTCTTGATATATAGATATACATATATATATATATATAATATATTATCTTTTTATTTGTAATTTACACTTAAAGTAATACTTACCTGAAAATTAACCTTGACGCTTCCTTTTCCTATTCGTAGCTTCTCATTTTCGTTAGTTAGTACCCCGTCTTCTCCAAATACATAAATCATCACAGTGACTTTGACGCCTTGGCCAAGGTCATAGAACGATGACGACATATTAACATTCGTACACGGGAATTCAGAGCCCATGTCATCTCGGTACAACGTGTTTATTCTCGGCGTAAACTCGAAGTCTACTTGCGAAAATTTATTATAAAAATGCCTGGGTGAGCTGTATCGCCCTATCGGTTGACTGCTATCGTCGAATTCCTGTAGTTCGTTCATTTCGAGCCACACTGTTCTGTCTTCGTGTTCGTCTGCCAACGCGTTGGGCCTGATAATTACGCGGCCTGAGCGTCCGAGAAGCCGAATGCTAACATGGTTGTAACTAAATGACATCTCCGCCTGTCCAGACAGCGACGGAATACAGCATTGCAGCAGACACAGTAAAAAAGTCGACCGCGAAAAAGCCATGACCGTGCTGCGACATGGGGTTTCCTCTGCGCTGTACACGCTGATACGCGTTGACTAGCCGAATTATTTATGTCTCTCTATGCTTAATCAAATTAGTTGCCGCGTCGTGGGTGCGGTGCACAGCCGGACAGTGCGCAGATATGCGTTAGTCCACGAGTAGGCAAACGCCCGGTTTGTGCCATTCCACGCGCAGGGCGAGATGTTCTTCGAATGCCATTTCGGCAGCAAAGGATTGCCTCGTTGCGTGATCCCGTGTAGACTCCCTCATGTAACAGTTTAGCTGGAGGCTGTAGCTTACACTCGAGTGGTTGTTTGCATAGGTTCTCTCGCGAATTAGCCAGATTAGTCCACAGAGATCTAATGCGCTTACTTGGTGGGCCCAGATGCAACACTAGCATTCTCATAAAAAAAAACTTATCATAAAAGTTAATCCGTCATCGTTTATTTCGTTAACATATTCTTGGCGTGGAATTCTTCCAATTCTTGCCGTAGCCATACCAACTGCACTGACATAATTACAATTAAGGTGACGACATCCACAAATGATTTCTTTGAACAGTGCAACCAAACAATTGGCTTGTGCCTAAGAATGTATTTCGTCAGCCGTATCCTAAAACACGTAACAAAGTATCGCACACTTAGTTTAGTCTTCAATTCTTGAACACTGGTTTCTTGCGATCACACGCCTCTCACAGTTTCTGAAAATTACACGCCTTATTTCTCGACCGTATAGCACTGAAACGCTGTCAGAGAGCTAGCCTCGCCTCCTCTTAGTGATTCCGCGCTCGCGGATAAAGCTGCAAATCACCTAAGTGTATACATGCTCCAAGCGCATTCAGAAGCTGAGGTCACAGAACAGCAATTCTAGCGGTACTCGACGATCCACGCACGGACCGACTGTGCTACCCACCGAACGTGCCGCCGAGCTAGTAGCTGCAGCAGTCACGCGTCCGCGAGATGTCGCTACGTGACGTGCGTTATCACGGGTTAGAGGCACTGATCTATATTATACTAACTTTAGTAGTATAATAGAGATCAGTACAGTGGTTAGAGGGTGGTTTGTGGTTTACTGGATATTATCAGGAGTGAATAACAATAAATTATTATTATTTATTACTATTATTATTTATCATGATCATATTATGTTATATCATTGATTATGTTATATATTATATTATCCTGATATTATCATAATTATGATCATTATTATGATTATTATTATCTATTATTATTCACTCCTGATATTATATATAATATATATATATATATATATATATAATAATACATATTAAAATATAATATATACATTTTATTTTAATATTTAATTTTATAATGATTTTATTTATTACATATAAATTTTGATAAATTTAAATAAAATATATAAATAAATAATATATTAAATATAAAATAATAATATAAATATAGATTTGAAAATTTTAAAAATATTTATTATTTATATGTATAAAGCAAAATCCCGCACATTCATAAATGCAAACTTAGCAAGACTGCTAATGGACCGTAAATCGCAAGTCTGACAATAGGATTTCATTATATAGTATTATAAAGCTATATATAATATATATTATGTAATATGTAGGGTTTACATCTGATTATATACATATTTGTATTGGCCAGTATCTGGAACCAAAAGTCGCATTGCCTAAGAAAGCGTTTACGTGAACGTATATAAATTATTATAAGACTAAATAAGGCCCACATACGCGTGTACGAATGTGTTTATGTCCACGGGCTAATAATTAAGCTTCATGTAGAATGCTACTGTAATCGTATACGCTAACGATTAAAGTTGTAATATGCACTTGGATGATCTCATTACGAAAATAAATATACGGAAAATACAAATTATGATTCTGTGTCACTGTTTATTGTTGAATTGCTGTGTTATAAACTTCATTGATTTCGACCTTTTGGTTCGATAGAAAACAAGCATGCAGTGGCGATAATTTTTTTATATAGTGAGTACATAATAATCTATCAACGCCGACACTATATCGAGTATTTTAGATTAATTAGTTTTTTAAAAACAATTATACTGCTAAAAGTTAAAGGTACTTTAATGGCACCATTAATCCTTGCTTTCGATTCATGCCAAAAAATGCTAAATTTTGTAAGGCATATATTTTCATAATATGATAGCAATAATAAAATTGTTTGTGGTGTTGATAGTTTTTGTGTGTGTGTGTGTGTGGTGTGTTGGTGTGTGTGTGTGCGCGCTAAGCGGCGCGTGATGCGTGGCGTGCGCGTTAGTGCGTAGTGTGCGTGTGTGCGTTGTGTGTGTAGAGCGTCCGAGCGCGCACGTGCATAATTTCGAGTGTGTGGCGTGCGCTATGCGCTTGGCGGCGCGCGCTGTTTGAGTATGTGTGTGTGTGTGTGTGTGTTGTGTGTGTGTGTGTGTGTGTGTGGTTGTTTGTTGTGTGTGTTGTGGTGTGTGTGTGTAGATAGACTAGTTAAAAAAGAGAAAGTGTGTGGTGTTGTGTGTTTGTGTGTATGTGTTGTTGTGTGTGTGTGTGTGTGTGGTGTGTGTGTGTAGTGGTATGTGGTCAATGAGAAGAGAGAGAGAGAGAGAGATTGAGAGAGAGTTAAAGAGAGAGAGAGAGAGAAGGAGAGCGAGAGAAAGAGAGGAAGAGAGAGAGAGAGATGAGAGAGAGAGAGAGAGAGAGAGAGAGAGAGAGATAGAGAGAGAGAGATGTGTGTGTGTGTGTGTGTGTGTGTGTGTGTGTGTGTGTGTGTGTGTGTGTGTGTGTGTGTGTATGTGTATGTGCGTGTGTGGGTGTGTGAGAGAGTGTGTGTGTGTGTGTGTGAGAGAGAGAGAGAGAGAGAGAGAGAGAGAGAGAGAGAAAGAGAGATTACGAGATAATAGATAGATAGACAGACTATACTTTTCGTTTATTTTTTCGCTCAATATCACACCGGGCTGGAGATCATACTTGATGGGCCGCCTCTGGATATCGGTAAATCGAATTTGCTTATGAAGATATTAGGGAATGTCTGTTACATCGATACATTTATTTTATTTTATTTAAACATAATTATTAACATATGTAATTGCCAGGTTCTATGTACTGTGTTGAATTCCTTTAATGTAACACAGTGCGACCAATACTTTTAATATCGGGAGTGAATAAGAATATATTATAGATTAAAAGATATGTAACTAATATGGCCGCCGTGTGGCGCTCTGGTCGCGAGATGCGTGTCGGTCGTGTCGGGGGGCGTCGTTCGCTTTGACTGGTACCCGTCCCTTCTCACACGCTCGATATAGGGGCCCTACGCCTTATATCGAGCGTGTGAGAAGGGACGGGCACCAGTCAAGTCGTTCGCGTCGTTTTCAAACTGTTGTTTTGTGTTGTTAGCCAAATTTGTAAAAGAAAACAACTACAGTTTCACCCTTAACAAGGTAAAATTATAATGTAATAACTTAAAATTTTGCACAATCACTATGTCATTAGTTATAGCTAGCTCTATATTTACTTACCAACGAATGCTGACTTCTGCTATTACTCACTATCAGGAGCGTATAATGACAAATTTTGACATATTTGTCATTATACGCTCCTGGGTTCAAGGATAGAGAACATGGGTCCCAATAAAACCAATGTCATTTACATCAATATAAATATAATATTATATCAATATAATAGGTCAGGGTTATGGTTAGGGTTAGGATTAGGGTCAGGGTTATGGTTAGGGTTAGGGTTAGAATTAGGGTTAGGGTTAGGTTTAGGCACAGTGGTTTTATTGGGACCCATGTTCTCTATCCTTGGGCCCGCTCCTGTCACTATTAGTATTACTGTATTAGTATTAGTATTAGCTCTAGTACTATAGCCTGCGGCAACTGTACGCGGGCTATACTACGCGAGCTATATTAGTATTAGCTCTAGAGCAGCGTGTACCACACTACCAGTGCCAGTGCTGTGGGCGGGTCTCTAACTCGCTCTCATCTGAGTCTAAACCCGACATGGCTCTACGACGGACAACTAATAGTACTAGTAGTAGTAGTAGTACAAGTACGTCAACAGTGTAATAATCGGTGCAGTGCAATCAGGTGTAAACGGTGCTGCATTCGGACAAGTAAAAATTGCTTCTTGTTGCCCGACAGGACAACCAGATCTATCTGAAAATAAGCGTCGAGGCCTGCTATATCTATCTATATATATATATATCAAGTCACCATATTAAATAACTGTTGAAATAAATATTTGCTTGGTAGACCAGTTGAGTGCAGTGAGTATTGAAGGAAGAGCATGGAAGTAAAAGCAGGTTAGATCGTTGTTGAATATGTTTGTATTTTCAGGTCTCTGTGTCGATGGTACGCACAAAGCAAACACAACATGCCAGGCATTCACCACAGGACAGTAATGGATCTTCCAACTCATCAGTATCGTATGACTACAGATCTTCTAAGCATAAACAGAAAAATATTACAGGAAAACAAAAGGCGCAAATGTCTAGACTTACTCTGATCAAAAGAAAGTCCACTGGAAATTCTTCTTCGGCTAAAAGTATGTGTATGTGGCGCTGTTGTTGTATTCTTTATACTATTTGCCTTTATCAATACAAACACTAGTATCATGAATATAAGAAGAGGAATACCCTGCATTACAGAAATACAGATTCTTCCATACATAAATTGGAAAAATATAACCAATATCAGGGGTAGAAATTAACTTTTGAATAAGGGAGTCCAACAGACTCCCTGCCAGGCCTCGAATTAAGCGACGAGAGGGGCAAGGCAATTTTTTGGGGGCATGTGAGAAATTGCCTTGAATCTTCTCTAAAATGGATGGGCACCGAGGCAATTTTAAAAGGCATTGATCAAGGCAACTCTCACAATTTGAGAAGGGCACCAAGGCACTTTTGTAAAATAAAGGAAAACTCATAACAAATTAATAAAATTTTTACCGTGTATGTACAGACCGTCGCCCACATGTACATCGTCTTCCGCCCCCATGTAAGCTATAACACCGTAACACCGACCCCTGTACCCCCTCTGCTAATGGATCGAAGTACAGTAACAGGGTTCAACATTAACTTTTTATTTCACTAGACCATCGGGCTAGTAACTGAGGAAAACCACTAGCCCTGACCTAACTTTCACTAGCCCAGACCCAGACCATTGTTATGAAAAACATTGTGTCATCGTATGA